ACGCCCTACAATCGATCTATCGAGATTGATCCTTTTCTTTTCCAAAACAAGTCCCTTTTACACATTATCATGTTACATTGTCGCCATTTAAATGCTTTTTTGTGCTTTCAAAGTTGTGCTGATGCGTGATACTCTCCATCTTACACATCTGAATCTCGCGAATCCCTCCGTCGCGTGCCGCCGCTTATCCCACCATGCATTCCTGGTTTGCTGTCCACCCTGTCGTCGACCTGGACGCTGTACGTCACCGACTTCATAATGTTGCCGGGCAGAATGTTCTCCTCGCTGCCGTTGTCGCCCTTGCTGTGGTTCGCCGAGGCGAAGACGGACTTGTCGTGGTTCATCTCGCTGAGCTTGTACCGTTCCGCGCCCTTCAGGTGGCTTCGTCCGTGCGACGAGCCTCCAGAGTACTTTGAGCGATAGTTCTTGGCCTTCTTCATGCACACAGGTGCCAGGAACGGAAGTGAAGATACGATATTCTGCCCATATTCATTAGCCATGTTGGTTCACCGGAAGACACGGGAAAGGGGAAAGCTCGCGGCCGCTTCTCCGGAAGAAAACTTACGCCAACGTTAAATTCAATGGTGCCCCACAGGACCAGCATCGTCGAGTTGCCGTCGCCGTACTGGATGCGGTTGATCTCGAGGTATCGCAGGATAGAGCAGAGCGTCGTGAACAAGCCAAGGAGGAAAATGGCAATAAGACCGGCCTTCTTCTCCACGCGAACGTTGAGCTTGAGCAGCACCGGGATTGGCAAGACTGCCACAACGACGTCGGAAATGATGGTGACAACGGCGTATGCGGTAAAGGATGGGCCCGCGGGCAGACAAGTTCCCGCTTTGAGGGGGTTCCATGACTTGTCGACAGGCGTGCAGGCGAAGACAAGGGAGAATGAGCACCCGAGATGAGCGATGAAGACCAAGATGATGGTCAGCCAGACGATGCGGCGATAGTTCTTTTGGTCGGTTCCCTTGAGAAGACGCAGATAACTGATCAACAGGGCAATCTTGAAAAAGCTGATGCCCAGTTGGTAAAATGGGCGACCTGCAAAGTTGATGCGCGTGTATAAAATCAGATTGTCCTTTGGCCTAAGCTTGATGGGTAAACCGAGGCCATATCTCGTTTCTGATACACCATATTAGAATCATTGGTGGGAAACATCCAACTTTCGACGTGATACTTACGTGCAATGGTAAGGCCGGAATAGATGAGAGCAAATACTTCGGACAAAATCGACATCCAGTCATCGGCAGCCAGACCTCGGGCAGAAAATCGGATCCAGATTCGAGAGCCCACGACGATGACTGAAAGCAAAGAGAGGACGATAACGACGGCGATGATGGTCGGCCATTGCGATATGGCCTCGACCTCGGGCGTGGCGTTGAGAACCCAGCCCATAGCGGCGGTTTATAGAATAAAGCGGTTGTTGCAGCGGCTGCGTGGCGCTGAGTCGTAAATCCAAGACAAGCCCAACAAACTTCCCGATGAAGAACGCCGAGGTCTTTCGTGACTCGTCTAGCGTTGCCGCGATGTGGTGTGTAACTGTGGCTTGCAACCAACACGATTTTGACGTCCAACGAGTTTCCGAGTTCCAACGAGAAAACCAAGACCAGATCAACGCGGGACCAACGGCGTAGTATTAAACCGGGCTCGAATGGGGGAGAGGAATAAAAAGGCCAACAGAGGTTGAGGGGACTTGGACTCAGGGGAGAAGCGAGGATGGGGAGGAGGGGGGAGGCGACCAGCCGACTGGTAAAATAAGATCCTAGCCTGCAGGTCGAAAGCAAGGGACACTTTATGAATTTGGTGGAGAGTAGTAATACACAAACAGCATCCGCGAACGTTAAACGGCTCAGAGACTAGGGGGACGGTTGGCCACTTTAATCTTTATTACGTCGTATGGTGCGTTGCGGTCTTCTACCGCCCGCTCGCGCGTGGGATATGTGCGTGGCGCTGAACACTCTGTGTGTGATGAGAGGTGCAGCATGGCCCCTTCACCTTGCCTTTTGCTAGCTGGGAACATCACATTATCCACAAGGAACAAGAAAATATGAGCCAGTCGCTTTGCGTATGCGTGCTCCGAGCTTCTGGGAACTTTGGGAAGTCAAAAAGAAAGGAATAAGCTATAGGGTACGGATACGTACCTACCCAGCTCTATCCTTACGAGGAGGGGAATCGAGAGAGTATCCCCGCCTGACCTTGCTGCTTCGACGCCCTGAAAAGCTCGCAGGTCACGACATTTGGGGCAGGTCAAGAAAGCTCACAAGTGACAAGGCAGAAATGGAAATCCAGGATGCCTTGTCTCACAAAGGCAATCGGTCCTCAAATTGTCTCAACCACCGCAAGGATTGAGCCAGTCTGGATGGAATCCGTGCAATGTGATAGGGTTTTGGGGCCTGGTGCTGGCATGGCCTTGTTAATGTCTCGATGTTCGGCCACTGGCCCAATAACCAGGCTCCGCCGGGGACCTTCATCCATTGGACATGGGGCGGCGGCCAGAAAAAGTTGCCATGGCAAGGGAAATACAGTAATGCCACGCCATATGGAGTAGTGATGGGTGGACTGTCTTCGGGTTATTCGTAAATCGAATGTGACGCTGGGCAGCATGAAATGTGAGAAGCTTCCAAAGAAGAGGAAGGTAGCTCACGGAAGCGCGGGAAAGACGAAGTGTTTGGGGGATCACCGCAAGAGGCTCCGCAGCGAATGCATCGCTGCATCGTTCCCTTTTCTTGCGATTTGATGCATCGTCTTCTTTCTGGGTTTCTGGCTGCTACACGCTTAAAGCTTTGCCAAGCCTCCCAAGTCTGGTTTCCGAATTACATTATTTCTTCTTCCTGGGGCCGGGACTGGGCTGGCTTCGGTCGTTCTCCATCATGCCGTCCGGAGTACCATCCGAAGAGGAGGGGGGTGTGGCTGGCGTGGGACTCCGAAATGCGTGTGGTTACTTCGGGACAGGAAAACTTCCACGGAACAAAATTGCTCTTCGGGAGAATACTTTCAGAAGTTACCAAATACGACTACGGAAAGGCAACGGTTGGCTTGGGTTAGCAACGTCAACCGTGGTACCATGGTGCAACAGCCTATGACGGTCGACGAACCGGGGTTCTTGGGAGGGGAGAAGTGAGAGAGGTTAGGCCAAAAGCAGAAGATGCGACGGTAAAGGGACGCGGGCGGTGCTAAGCGGCATTGCGTCTGCTGCAAGTCGTTGGCAGCTTGCAAGGTCTGAACGGACCACGGACGGTAACTGTCAAACTTCCACCGTTCGTGGCCCTGCCTTTTTCTGCTCTGTTGACTGTTGTGTCGGCGCCGAGGCGAAGGTTGACAGTTGGAAAGTTTCTCTTCCCGAAAGTCTACTACTGCGTTGTGTGCGCAATGCGGAACTTCCTACGCAATTGAGTCTTTTTGGTGTGTCTAGAACCCCAGCAAAGCAGGCGACAAAGATTAACATCGTTCGATGGCAGAAGCCAAATTGACACTTTGACAAGTCCAGTAAAAGTCGGCTAGACCGTCCCGTCTTGTCGCCTTGTCATTATTAAAAACTGCCCCCATTTCTGCCCGTCTTCTCGCAACGCCCCCGCTCGCAGGAGAACTTTTTTCCCTTTTCTGCCCTCTCATTTGCAGAGAGCTCAGAGCCTCACTGCCTCAGTACCACTTGGCCTCTCAAAATTCCCAGCTATCTGCGCTGGCCCGCCACATCACGACGACGTCTTCTGGGTTGATGACTCGGATGTACGATAAGAATCAGCAGGCCGCAGATGAGCGGATGGGGATAACTTGCGAAGCAGTCTAATAGAGAGGGGAGGAGGGGCCCTTATTTGCGGTCGCCATCAAGCCTGGATCCCCGCGCAAAACCACTCTGAAGAGCGGGCCGACGAGAACCCAAGAGCTTTAGAGGTCCCAGAATCGTCGCAAAAGTCGCAAAACGAACTGGTATTGGCAAACAGATCATAGGCTAAGAGGTGATGCGGCCGGATATGAATGGGACAGGGCCTCTTTCAATGGGGTGAACACGCCGTAGCAGGCCGGGTTCTGGCTTCATCTGGATCCAGTCCTCGCCTGAGAGGTACGGATATGCCACCACTTCCACCTGTCTATGGAGTACCTCGTACTTGGGGCAAGAAGGAGACTAGAGGAGTATGTACATACATAGTAACTTGTCGAGATCCATCGCTCGCCAGACCGGATATCCCTCGTTCTCGAACTGGAGGTCCGGGTTGCATGCATCGGCCACCGGGGATCGGGCCCCAGTCTTCCTTCTCGTGAGTTAGGGTCCCCCCGGTCCCCTGCTCCAACTACGCAAACCTTGCATACTGCAGGCGGGGATCGGGGAGCTGCGCCGTACGGTACGCTAAGCTGTTGGTGTGGTCGATTTTGGGAGGGAAAAGTGACAATACCTGCATCGACATGGGGTGAGATGTACTTAGGTGAGACCTGCAGCACGCAGGTAGCACGTTGCTCGTCTTGTCTAGCCCTCCTCCTCTCCTGCAGCTGTTCCTCATCATCCAAGTTCCAACAAGATATTCTTGTTCAAGTGTTGTAACCTGTGGACTGTGTGGTGGTGGTTCTGATACCATTCTTGTACACATCTCCTGGCGGGGTCCCTTTTACTGGACGAACTACTAATCAGTCGCATCAACTATTGTCACTCGTTGCTTTTCCTCCTTTTCATTACGACTTTCCCCTCCTCTTCATCCCGTTTTACTTATTTTACCTTTTTCTTTTCAATCTGACACCTGCGCGGATATCAGATCAGAAATCTCGACTATCCCCCAATCCGACCATCTTTAGCCTTCAGTCCCGCAGCGGAAGCCTGTGCGCGCCTCGACGTCGATCACCAGACGACGGACCAATTTTGCTTTTGGCATCTCCTTCCCGCTACTGAGTGCTAAGGTAGTAATCGAGAAAGGGTCACATCTCTTCCCATTGTTTTGCTTATTCTATCCTACCGTCTTACACCTACCGGCGTCTAAAGCAAGACAAGAAATATATACAAAGCAAACATGTCCGTGGACGAGAAGAACCTTCAGGACTTTGAGAGCTCGGCCGCCTCGTCCGACTCTCGCGCTGATACGGGCAACATCGACGCCGCGTGGAAGTTCCTCAACGACCATCGCGATGCCGGCACCGACACAAGCTCCGTGGACATGAACGCGCTCAGGCGCAAGATCGACTGGCGCCTTGTCCCCCTCATGTTCCTCTGCTACACCATGCAGTTCCTGGACAAGGTCATTCTCAACGTAAGTACTTCCACGTGGTCTTCCAAGATCTCTCTTCCCACTACAACCTCTCTCTCATCCAGCTCATGTTTGAGCGGCGTACTTGCTTTTGTGACCTGGCTTTGTCTCTCACAAGGTCACCACGCGACCCAATGCTAATGTGATATCTGATAATGTAGTACGCCGCCGTCATGGGCTTGAGCAAGGACCTGAAGCTCGTCGGCAACGAGTTCTCCAACATTGCCACTTTCCTCTTTGTCGGTCTTCTTTGCTTTGAGGTTCCCAACAGTAAGCCTTACCCCATCTTATTCCCCATATCACCGGAAGAAAAGCAAGAAAAGAGAGACTCGAACGATGTGGAAACTCTGGAGACGCTCGAAGGGTGATGGAGGAACTCGAACGTTGGAGAGACACGAACCATCAAGACTCGGATCATGAGCAGTCTTCAAAAGGAAAATGAGAGACATCGAGACTGACATAACCTCCTTCAACAGTCTACTTCCTCCAGATGGTCCCCGCGGCCAAGTGGTTGGGCCTCAACGTCATCCTCTGGGGCACCGCGACCGCCTGCGGTGCCGCCGCCCACAACTACCAGTCCCTACTCGTCTCCCGTGTCTTCCTGGGTATCTTCGAGGCCACCATCGGCCCCTCCCTGATGCTCATCAGCGCCCAGTGGTACACCAAGTCCGAGCAGGCCCCGCGCTTCTCCTTCTGGTACCTGGGTCTCGGCCTCGGCCAGATCCTCGGCGGCGCCATCTCCTACGGCTTCCAGCACATCGCTCCCGGCGCGGGCCTCGCCGGCTGGCGCATCATGTTCGTCGTCCTCGGCTGCCTGACCGTCACCATTGGCATCTGCACCGTTCTCTTCGTCCCGGACACGCCCATGCAGGCCCGCTGGCTGAGCGACACCGAGAAAGTTGCCCTGCTGAAGCACGTCAGCGTCAACCAGACCGGTATCGAGAGCCGCAAGTTCCGCCCCAAGCAGATCCTCGAGGCTCTCATGGACCCCCAGATGTACCTCATGGTCGTCGCCGTCGTTCTCGTGCGTTATGCCCCGTGTAGTTCCTGAAGATGTGTAGTTAGAAATCCGCTGACCCCTTTTACGCAGCTGTCCGTTTCCAGCGGTGTTGTCACGACCTACTCTGCCACTCTCATCCGCAACCTCGGCTACGACTCCAAGCACGCCGCTCTGATGAACATGCCTTCCGGTGTTGTGAGCATCTTCTTCACTCTTCTCGTCGGATACGGAATTCGTCACACGTCCAACCGGTGGGCTTGGATCGTCGCCTGCATCATCCCAGCGTGAGTCAATAGTGAATCTAGCGTCCGAAGAAAAAGCAAAATACTAACCCTGCTCAGCATCATTGGTGGCGCTCTGATGTCTTTCCTTCCCGTTAGCAACCGCTCTGGTTGCTTGGCCGGCATCTACCTCGTCAACGCCGTCGTTGCCCCCTTGACCGTCTTCTACGCCGTAAGTACACCTCCGAGTCGCGAGATGTCTGCGTCTCAAAAGACCGTAGACTACATGGTAGCTCTGTGGACATTAGACTGACATAACATGCAGTGGACTGCCGCCAACTTTGGAGGTGCCACCAAGCGTGCCTTTGCTGCCGCCATCGTCTCCGGCTCCTTCTCGCTCGGCAACATCATCGGACCCCAGACCTTCCAGGCCAAGGACGCGCCCGAGTACCGCCCGGCCAAGATCGCCGTCATGGGCACCCAGGCCGGCTGCGCCGTCGTCACCCTGGCGCTGTACGCCTACTACCGCTACGAGAACAAGCGCCGCGGTGCCATCAAGCAGTCCGAGGACGCCTACATGGCCCCCGAGAACTGGCAGTCAATGACTGACAAGGAGAACAAGTCGTTCCGCTACACTTACTAAGGCAGCTGTGCTGAACGCGGGTAGTATGCACAGAGCGCACAAAGTTCCGAGTTCTTGTCAAAGAAAAAAAAAGTATACTTATAGATGTATATAGCATTTGGGCAAAAGGGGGGAGGCTTATTGTACATTACTAGATCTTGGTACTGACCAATGAGACCACGTATTTACCGACGACTACACGTTGCGCCGTCCGTGGGACTCTTTTTCGGTTTCAGACGAGTTGGGTCTTACGCGCCGATACAAACGACATAGCTTTTCAGCTTACATGCCCGTTACAGTTTCAGGCTACATTTATCTCGCCAACGGACGCTTTAGACTGGCTCTACGTCCGATGCTTTGCCTCTGCCCGTCCACCCGAGGTGGACGGGCAGAGGCAACGTATGAGAATAGATCGAAAAAAGAAGATGTTTGGCCATCCATCCCTTATTCCCGTTGCGTGTCATGGCGTTAATTAGTCTGTTTGTGGTTGATGTGTAAGGCTGACTGGACGGCGTACGGCGCCACGGTTCACCAAGTCCGGTCATAGTACCATCCGGCCGGCACTTGAAGGGTGTTGGCGCTGCGGCTGTCTTTGATTTAAGCTTCATCTGACCGCCCTGTGTCAAGTCTGTCGTGCGGGTCGCTCGGGAACCTTCCACCCACTTACCGGCGAAGCGTCAAGGGAAAAGAGGGAAAAAAGGGTGACAAAGGAGAAAACCCAAAAACCCATCGGAGGTCGGTGCTCACGGCCAACTCTAACAAACCAAGCCAAACCCAAGGCCTCTACGGCAAAGGCCCTAGAGACTTAGGCCTAAAGACGCATAGATTACCAAAAGAGGTTAGCGCTTCCGCTATGCTTTTTGACAATGGGATAGAAAGATGGGTAGACACTGGGCTGATAGTTCTTCAGGTTAACTTGCACTGTTCAGGTGTAGTGGTATTCGCCTAGTCTGCTTGGTCAGATTGCGACCCCAGCCTCTAGAGTCTACTATGACATTTAGCCTATGACAGCTAGCTTAATGAGGAGCTTACTCGCGTGGCAAGGCACCGACACTGAATCCCGTCGGATTTTATGTGTAGGAGCTCGCGCGCGGAAGCGTCAATCTCTGAGCCATCTTATGCCAAGGTCTTGACAAGCTCCTTGAATTCCGCCTCGGTCATCCTCTGGACCCCGAGCAGTTCGTTGGTGGCATTTGTGTCAAAAGTGAGCTGGAGCTCTGGGTCATAGACGAATCGCAAGACGATATCTTCGATTACGGACGCGTCGAAAACCCCAGAGAGGAGCTTCTGCACGCCCCGCTCGTAGCGCTCCTTCGTGCTGACTTTGATGACTTCAATGTCTATATCGGGCAGAGCTTCCTTGACTAGCTCTATGATCCGGTTCTGCGTCAGGTTGATCACCTCGATCGTCAAGATCTGGTTCCTGGTCGCGTCGGGTCGTTTGAGCACGCCCACAACCGCGTTGCCAAACGCCTTGCGCGTGCTCAGCCCAAATCGGACGTTGCCGTCCTCATGGATGTAGAATTTGCGTTTGGGGAGGCACATGCCGGTGTTGCAAGTCATGATCCATTCGATCCAGGGCCCGCCGAGGATGCTGGTATACTCAATTCGCCCTGCCTCAGCCGCCTTCTGGAGCGCCTCGTCGACTCGAATCTTGGAAGCTGAGAGGGGTACAGATCGCGCACTCGGATTCCGATGGTCGGAGCCGAACTCCGAGGGAATGAAGCGCTTTACCTCGGCGGCGATGGCAGCCTCAAGGATGCGCAAGAGGAGGGCTTCGAGGTGGCCTGGAACGACGCAGACGACGGCGTCAAACCCACGGAAAGCAACGGTCAAGTCGTCCAATGATTCGTAGTCGGCTGCGACAGTCTTTACTCCCGGGGGGAAGGTCTTGGCGTTGGAACCCCGGGTGATGACGACAAGGTTAAAGATGCCGGCGGCAGCGAGTTGGTCGACTATGACATGCCCGAGGTCGCCGGTGCCCTAACGTCGGGTAGTAAGTATGGGATGGGTGGTACAGTGGTCAGTGCAGTGCAGTGCAGTTTGATCGGGCTGCCTATGTTAGGCTTTATTAGGGGTACGGAGTAACCGTAAACGTTTAGTAGTGTAAGGGTAGTGTATCCGTAGTGTAGGGGCAAAGGGGAAACGAGGGATCCACGATGCGTGGCTCATGCAATCTGTAAAGAGTAGGTTGAGTGTGGCTTACTCCAATAACGGCAATGTTCTTCAGGGTAGCCGCAGTCATGGTTTATTTTTGTCGACTTGATAGGTTGTCTCAGGTTGTAACCTTTTCTATAGAACAAGGGGGCCTGATTGATAAAGCGTGTCTGATGTATCCGTAGGCTAAAGACTTTCAGTGTCAGAATGTCGATGACTATGTCTCTCTAGTGATGTGAGGGCATCTGCAACTCTTCAGTATAGGGCGATCCCCCATTCATATTATACAGAAAGACTATGAGACTCTGTCTATAACCATCATTATTCATCAAGACCGGGCCCTCCGCTGTTGCTTACCGTTATCCTACCGGTGTACCGGCGGACGCATACATAAGCTCGGCGCCCGGAGGCCCCGCCCCGGCGATAGAGACCCCACTTATCTCGGTATCCCACCGGCTGAGTAATTGGGCCTATAGATGGGCCAGACGGACGCCCAGCCAATCGTTGGCGAGCATAGGCGCATCCAACTGCCGCGGAAGGTTTAGCCTTGACACCCACCCTCCACCGCCGTCCACCTCAGTCATCTCCCTCCTAGGTAGTCCTAGTCCTAGTCCCTGGCCTCCTGGCAAGCATAGTCGTCTCGTCCAAGAGCTAAGCGTACGGCGGATTCAAGCGAAGTCCACGTCCGAACACCCAACATAACGCCCACACGCTCTCCACGCACGCGGCACACTCACACACACACAAGACCTGGACCTGGACCCAGACCAGACCACCTAAGCCTTTAGCCCTCTTTAACCTATCCTATCCTATCTCTGCTCTGCCTGCTCCGGGTGGCTATCCGGCCCCCTTCTCAAGCAACCTCTTTTAGATCTAGTCAACCCGCCGGCAACTACTTCCAGGGCAATGGATCTATCCCTTCCTTGCGTTGGAGGTCCCCAGAATGCCCTTCACCTGCGACCATGAAGGCTGCGGCCGCTCCTATCTTCGTAAGGAACACCTCACACGCCACAAAAAAGAGCACTCTGCAACGCCTTCATTTTCCTGTCCATCATGTGGTACCAAGTTTACAAGAGGGTATGTATGACTGTGGGTGGTTGACAAACTACCCATCCCTTCCCTAGTACGTGGTGTCTCTGACACTATTTGTCTTGTCACTTGTCGCGTCCATCGGGTCGCATTCCCCAGACGCTTCTCGTGGGTTGACTATCGTTTGTCGATGTCGATCGGATTCTGGATCCCGCGCGAAAATAAGTAACTAACCGCGGGAAATTTCCTATCAAAATTGTAGAGATACCCTCCGTAGACACATGGTACTACATGGCCCTTCAGCCCCGCCAACCCGCGTAGCACAAGCCTGCGTTCCATGCCACCGGACAAAGACCAGATGCGATGGTCAGCAACCCACCTGCTCAACATGCAATGACAAGGGGAAATCGTGCGAATGGCCCCAGCCGCGCGGCGGCAGCAAGTCGCTGACGGACCGATCTTCCTCTTCGCCGTCCAGCTCCTCCGGCCTACCGACCTCGGGCTGCACGCCGCCCTCGAACTCCATGGCCTTGCCCGACCACGGCGGCCATCCGATGACAGCGCCGAGCATGCAGCATCAGCATCAGCATCCGCAGCATCCGCCCACCGGCATGACTACTACCTCGCATGCGATGATGTCGGCTGGTCCCATGCCGATGACGACGATGTCCGACACCCTCGACTTCACCACCCCGGGATCCATCCTAGATGAGGCCATGAGGCTCCAGCTGCAGAGCATCTACTTCGCCAAGTTCCATCCCCAATGGCCGCTGCTGCACCGGGAGACGTTCGAGACTACGGCGCAACCCAAGTTGTTGATGCAGGCCGTGATGACGGTTGGACTATGGTTTGCTTCGTGGCCTGACGCCAGGGGCTTGGCCATCAAGTTCCACGATAGCCTCCTGGTAGAAACAGGAAACAAGCTTGTAAGTTGCTGTTGTTGTCTGCTGTTTGCCAGACTATGTGTTTTTCCTCCGGTTTTTTGCTTGTATTCTTGCGCTTGGACGGGTCCTTGCCAGATACACGGACATTTGTCGTTTTGTTGAACAATCTACTCGTAAAGAAGAATATTGTACTAATCAACGTTACAGCTTGATCTATTAGAGCAGTCAAGACAAGGCATGCTCTCGCCACGGATGGATTTGCTCCCAGTTTTCCAGTCCATGCTGATCTCGACAATACTCGTGCCGTATCGAGCGGACCAGTCCATGGACAACGTGATGATGACGCACTCCATGTTGCTCGAGACGTTTAAAGCTACGGGAGTATACGAGCAGTCAAAGATCAATCTAGGGTCGCAGCTCTGTGGGCATAGTGGATACCCTTGGATCTTTAAAGAGTTATATCAACGGTAAGCCAAAGCTCCTTCTCCCGATATATCAATATGCCAAGGAAGACGAGAAGATGGCATCAAAACAATCGCATCTTCTTCAACTGGTTTTCCCTGGAAACTAGAAGAACCAGTTTCTTCCCTATGGCATACTTCTCCCCTAACTCAGTAATACACGAGTCATGGCTAACTCTATTCGTGTACAGTCTCGCTGTCTTCCAGTTCAAACTACATCTAATTCTCCAAACAATATTCATCACAATACATCCCGCCTTGCGTCTGTCCCGCAACGCAGAGCCTGGCATGCTGAGGATAAAAATACCGCTACCGCTGATGATGTGGGATGGGCCCGCGGCGCACTGGTATGGCATGGTGCCGACGGATCCCGCGCTGCTCGACGCGAATACCGGCGACGAAGAAGTGCTAATGATTAGCAAAATGTGCGAAAAGGCGAGCCTCACTATGGACAACAAGGCACTTGTCCCCTTGCTCTCCTGGGATCGGTGTTTGGGTATGGCGATTTGGTGTTGGTGTTTACGGGGGTCTGAGACCGACAAGGAGTTTATAGAGAACGTGAAGCCATTTGTTCTCGATCCGTTGAAGGATACGAATGTTTTCCCAGGTCCTAGCTAGGTCGGCATGGCATTCAATGGGAAAAAAGAATAGACGAAAAAATATTACTGGAAAATTTGGTACACTAGTAGCGTTCGATTTGCTATGACGTTAAGGCTCTTTACAACCTGACTATACTACTCAGTACGCAATTCCATACAGACTATACTATGCAGCGCCTCGACAAACATCACGAACATGCCGGCCATATCACGGCACAAGGCCACGCTCGCCACGGCCTCCGACCACAAGGCTGCTCTATTTTTCTCACTTTCTCTCTCCCTTTCCGTCGGCGCAATTTTGCTGCGGCGGCGCCCACTCGGCATCCCACTCGGCCAACAGTGATAATCAAGGGGGGTTTCGGCCTAGCGTGCCGGTGGGATGAGGCGGGATAATTTTCCTCCTCTGGACCTAGTCGGGTGGGGTCGCGCGGTGACCGACGATTCCAAGGCTTTATGCACGACAGAAGCCCAATGTGGGCGGCCTGGGGTGGACTTGCCCCCGGCTCAGGTGGGATAGAGAATTCATAGTCAAATTAGATGTCTGCCGCCATCATTTACCGCACTGAAATGGCACTGACAGAGCGGTCACCGCGCCTCAACGAAGTATTCAGTTGCAAGCAAAAAGCTCCGAGACAAGTCGCCGAGTAGTTTGCGATAACGAACGTAATACTCTCGAAACTTTCCATTGCTCGAGACGACCAGCATCAGCTATCCTAGCGTCTGATTTACAGAACCGATAACGATCTGTTCCGCGGGCAGTACCCACATACTGTAACTAGTAGATCATGGCGGACTCTATTCAATGGACTCGAGTGCTCCAGCTCGTGAACCTCCTGGGAGTCACTCATCTTGCCGGTACCGTGATAATCAGCTGATCAGAACCCCGTCTAATTCCGGAAGCGTGGGAGGCTAAAGTCATCTATAGGCTACCAATTTGGGACGGACAAAATTGCCATGTACAGCATCCTAAAACTCAATGACAAGGACACCATAGTAAAGCTCTGGTTCCGGGGCTGGGACTTTGGCCGAGTGTACGGCCCCGCAATGGTTGTCGGCACGGCCGCCGTTTTTGGCTTCCTGGCATGGAACGGTGCGCGCCCACTTTCCTTACTTCGCCCCCCGTCCACCTCCTAACCTGGACTCTACCCTGCCCTTTCTACTACAGCTCCCGCAACTTTAAACAGACGAACAGACCTCTCTCATTATTGGAAAAAACACATATCGGCTAACGAAAGATACCAGACGGCATCGCAAGTCCCGCATTCCCATTCAATCTTGCCGCCGGACTCCTGATGGGGGCTGTGGGCCCGTATACGCAATTCAGGATCTTCCCCGTCAACGACAAGCTCTTGGAGGAGCATCGAATTGTTATCAAGGCGGAGAAGACGGACGATCGAGCACAGGGCGCCAGTGTCGAGGTTGTTCGAGGATGGGCTGCTGACTGGAAGAGGCTCGACATTCACCGACAACTTCTCGCCTATCTTGCTGCCGGGGCTGGCTTGATCGCTGTTCTCAGAGCTTGAGAATGCTGTTGAACCGATGGCAGACCGAGGACTGAGGATACAGCACGATTGTGGGGAGAGTAGAGACGATATTGTACATTTTTGAAATACGACGGACGAGGTCTCCCGAATACGAACAGATACGATTACCTAGTACGAACGGATACGAAAATACACGATTCATTTAGTGCGAAGGCCTTCCCGATCCTGTTCTCTTGAAAAAGAATACTTGAGCAAATAAGTGACCTGGCACACGACGATACATTCAAACTTCGGAATCAGATTGATCGAAAATCACGATCACAACAGTCTGATACTGGCAACTTTCTCGAATCCCCAAACGCCGATGGAGGTCTGAATTTGAGGAACCCCCCCCCCCCCCATTGACCTTCGAGTTTCAGCGAACCTAAAGCGATGCGAAATACAGACCAAAACCATATCCCCAATTTGCAGACAATAATACAAGAACCCATAGATCGGTGTCGGCTGTTGCGCGATTCCATTCTGTGAAGCTGCCCACATAAGTAGCCTCGGCCTCAACATGGAGTTGCTCTTTTTGCTTGCAATGCAATAAGTGATTGGTGGGAAACAACTTCCTATCTTGTCCTGGTATCCACACATTCAGACCAATCGACCCTGACAAGACGGAACTCGGCTCTATTGTCTGTGGGAATAAGAGTATTATCTTTGAACACTTGCTTCCTGGAGTAATCAGTCCCATAAGCCTCACGTGGTAAATTCCCGATTAACCACGTCTTCTGTGTCCAGAAATCGAAGCCATCTGTGATGGCTTTTCAGCGAACGATCTGCAGTTTTGATGCCAGCTTCAGTCGGGGTGTCAAGTGTCACGAAAGACCAGTCGAGCCAAACCGTCAGCTTCGCGTCATCGAGGTTTTGGATAATAGTCTCGAACCGCACCTTTCCTCCAGCACCTGGCTCTAAAGAGGAAATACAGGTATTCAATTCTGTCACACGTTGATGCTATTCTAGTTTACCAATCAATAGAAATATACTCGATTCCACGAGCGCTACCTGCTTAGAGTATACTTTTATTTATCGTCTCTAACGCTCCGATACCTCCCACATTCTATCCCATATCCTGCTCGCTCGACATCGGCCACGCATCCGACCGAATCATGTGCCATTGCAGTACGCAATGGATTCAGAATACACCCTCGATCAAATGATAGAGCACGTCTCGTTTGGAGATCAGCGCGAGAACTAGGGAAGACTACAAGGAAGTAAAGCTCGAAAGTTCGCAATAGAGCGATAGACCCTAGAGAATCCGTGTGTGTTATCGCGGCGCCTATTTCATCAGCAATGCTCTCGACAACCGCGATACCTACTACTCCCTCGATTTTACAGGCCAGCGTGTGCGAACAAACTGCGTGGGCACGATGGGAGGCAATGGCTCCCTCGGTGGCGGTAGACTACCAGTCTACCTCCGTCCCGAACGAGATGCCATCCTGTACCTGTCATAAATAGGCCATGCCGCCACATCGAGCTACAACAAAGAAGCGGCCCGGCTGCCATTGCCGGTCGTGAGGACAGCACGATTCATTCAACATAGACGTACTGGCAGTAGATCCGGACCCGTGTCATCCTATCCAAGCGAATTTTTCCTTGTATTGTAGTCTCGTCGAGCTCTCAGATTTTTAATGGAAAATATTCGTACAGGTCCCACAATAGCTCTAGCTGGTAGGCCCGGAGTCAATCAAGTCCCATAAAACATCCAAAAATTGTAAAAAGAGAATCCTCAACCGTGCGGTGGAATCTAACCACTGAATCTCCCCGAGGTGGGCTCGAACCACCAACCTCCAGATTAACAGTCTGACGCGCTAGCCAATTGTGCCATCGGGGATGTTGAGATGTTGTGTCTCCGTGAGTTGATGCGCTGCGCGATTTTTGGGAATATGGAGCTCGTGTCGTGGGGTGGACCGATTTGGTGTGGAGAAGCGTCAGAGCGAGATGTGATGGAGCGGAACGAGTCAGTATTAAGACAGAATGGAGAGAGGTGAAGAGGTAGACGAACTACTAGGTATCGCTAGAGCTCATAGAGTATTATAGTCAAGGCCTTGATGCCAGAGGATGGTGGAGAGGAGGAAAGTAAGTCGAGAGTTTGTTAAGGAATCGGCGCGTTGGGTGGCGATAGGGATTAGGACGATGGCCTCGGTCATTTGAGGCCAACGGATATGAACCCATTGAGAAGTGATATAGTTGTCGCAGACTTCTTGCTGGATGTCCATCTGTCGAATTGTGCCTCCTGAAAGTTGTAATCACCATCTTGTCGGGGAAAGTTGAGCCAGGAGTAGCTTTCGGTGAGGGATTGAGGCCTGTGGTGTGCAGTCTCGGCAGGCATCCCGATTCCCTTCACCTTGCGGGGCTCTCGGTGAAGAAGGTGGGGCAAAATAAGCTTCAGTACGTACCGATTCACGTGCTATAGCTCCCTAGCGCGCATCAATTTTCGACCCCTGCACTTGGGCAGTCGCGTCTCACCCTCATTTCACCACTGCTGTCACTTTCTCAGCCGTTTGTCTTTCAACAAGGGCAGCAACTTTGTCGCCTGCCACTGACGGATCTCCATCGATCAACATGCCAGACTCATCCGACGATTCGGGCCCTGATGGCGTCGGCCTCATGCAAAATGATGCATCCGACCGGGAGTCCTCAGACAGCGAATCAGGGACAGAAGCCGGCGACGCCCCCGGCCAGGGCTTTCTCGACGTCGAAGCTTCAGAAGAGGGGAATAGCGACTCTGACGACTCATCAGAGTCGGACTCAGAAGATGCATCTATCCTCGGTGAATACCGCCGCAAGGCTCCACGGGTGTTCTTCCCCGAATTTCGCAGACTTCCCATCGAGCTTCGTCATCGCATTTGGCAGTACTTTTGTCCGGATCTCGACCCATCACCACGCGTCTTCTCCTTCCAGGTGCTGCCGAATCCACGGCAAGACACTATTTGGGAAAGCACGACCTTGGAGAACCAGATTGCAGCGGTAGATGCCATGTTGCGCGTTCATCACGAGTCTCGAGACATTGCACTCAAGGCATTTCCAGACACCCTGGCGATTAGGGAGGGTCGGCGCATCGTTCGGTTTAACAAAGAACGAGACGTCGTTCACCTCAATGGCGTCAAGCGCGTTTGGGACCACAACCTCAAGGTCCTTGGCTTCTCTGAGAACATCATGAACATGGCCATGGATGGATCTAACCTGGACGCCAATGAACTACGGCTTCTTCTGGCCTTTCCTAACCTCAAGAACCTATTCGATTTCCAGTGGCATAACGACAGGCGCATACCGCACAGGTTGAGGTGGTGTGCGTCGGATCTGATTCACAACTACGAGATCCAGCAATTACGAAGAAATGTGGACATTGGCGAGGATCTTCATTTCGTGTACTGCTGGCCAGATCTCACGCAGCCGCAGAATCGCGAATTCGCATTGAAGAAGAATCTATCCAAGGATGAGATATGGATTGATCTCTTCACAGAATTGTTCGACATGGTGGAGGAGGGCTCCCTTCACCTGAAATCGGGTGAAGCTGAGCGGCTAGAAGGAGTCAGTTATTGGCCTATGCAGTGCTTTGGCTGGGATGCAGCAGACCGATTCGACGCTTTTCGGGCAAAACACGGGGTTGCTGATGGAGACAAACCCGCTGCCGACGGTTCGGAAGACGACAAGGAAGAGGAATCAGGGGACGACTCAGAAGAAGATTCGGACGACTCCTCGGACCAGAACGAGTATGAAAGCGAGGGAATCGACGACGGAAGCATTCACGAGGAGTCCGTAGATGAAGACGAGGACGATTTGCTTATCGACACGCAACAAGCAAGCGATGATGAAGAAGGGGGCGGAGGTGTGTCAGACTACGGCGGTTTCTCTCCTCTTGCAGATGAGGACAGCACGCTCTTCGATGGCAACGGCCCTAGAAACCCCGCAGCTCACTGGTCCAGCCCCGAGCCGGAATCAGGAGAAGACAACCAGCCCCGCGGAGGAAGGAGGAGACGACGAACCGCACCGTCCGACGAGGACGAAGAATCAGGGGAAGAGGAGGAAGCAGAGGACTCAGGCCGCAGCACAAGTCGACGTGGTCCAGTGGCTATTTCCGACGATGAAGATGAAGGGGATGAGGAGCAGCCTTCTCAACCTACGAGTCGCCGGGGCCGCGTTGTTCTATCAGATGACGAGGACGACGATGAAGAGGAAGCGGCGGAGAAACCTGCAAAGCCTACCGGTCGTCGTGCACGAGTCCTTCCCTCAGACGACGATGACGAAGACGACGATGAAGGTGGGGCTGATATTGCCAACAAGGATGCACGGGAAGCATCAGACGCGGAGAACGAAGAAGAGGGCGCGAGGAAACCTTTATCTCTAGCTGAAAAGCTCGCTCGTAACCGCCGCGACAACCCGGTATCCGAAGACGAGGAAGAGTCTGGAGAGGAGAGCTCCGAGGAGGAGGAGGAAGCACAGCCCAAGACGATGTCTCTCGCGCAGAAGCTCATGACGCATCGCAGACGGAATCCGATTGCCTCCGAGTCAGAGGACGAACCCGAGGGCAGTATCGTCGGCAGCGAAGATGATGACCTCGAAGATGAGGAGGATGAGGATGATGAAGACGACGAGAATGGCATGTTTATGAACCTGGCGGATGAGGGCGAATCTGGGGATGAGGAAGGGGACGAGGATGAGTACTAGGGTTGAACCTCAGTGGGAGATCCATGGTTACGGTGTATAACATTACGATTTTTTCTCCCTCGGTCTCGGGGGATGAAATTGGGGCTTAGAGGATCTCATACGTACTCGCCGTCCATTTAGGGATATGGTCAGGTGGCCAGGACAGCATTGGAATCTGACACAATGGGTTGAAGTTTTCAACTCGAGTGAACAACGAGATCTTGCCCATGATTTGCACAGTATTTTTCCGTCCCATTCGTGAGCTTGTTTCACTCCCCAGCCGCTACTCCCCAGCCGCTACTGGGCATATTATCAACAGCTTCCCGCGGCCCACTACAGCCTCGTGAAGGACAAGCAGCATTGTTATTCTGGGGCGAACAGGCTTTGGCATCTAGCGAACCGAGGTAACAGACACGCCAATTTGTTCAACCTCACCCACGCGTGATTTACATGCCGTTGTCAGTCACTATTACATGGAATTGGACTTGTAGAAAACCGTAAAAAATAGAGTTCCCCTACTCTTCTCGTTTTATGAATCTCCGTATTCCTCTCGGCATATACAAAATCTCTTTTACTTATCACCCGAGAAGGGCGTCACAAGAGACGAGACACGAATGATGAAGCAATACACAACCAGCACCGTCACGACGAGAGTAGTGCTCGGGTTCGAATTCGATCAACTGGGCTCGCCTCTAATCAATATCCAGAAACATCGTTTTATACGAAGAATTTGACCTCCTCTTAAATGACGGATCTTATAGCACCGCCAGGATGAGCTTCGACCCAACTCTTATTATCAAGGCATCATTGTTGTAGTAGAATGTATTCATATCTCATAACTCATAAGAGGTATCCAAACTAAAGGTAAGCAATGGTATCACCAAACCCAAACGCCTCATCAAACCATCGGTCTACTCTCATCATCCATCTCTCACTGGTGCCAGCCCTCTCATCTACTTCTGCCTCCCCGTAACAGCTCCAACAGCCAACGTCTCAATCCGCCCGGAATACAACTTCATGACATGGCAGACCGGATCCCCCCAAACCACACCCCTCAGCTCCTCATCAGTCACAGTCTGCGCAACAACACCCTCATCCAACCTTTCCGCCACTGTCTTCCGGTCCCGCGGCCTCGCCTTCGGGTCTCCGCTCCGCAGCACCACAATCCTGCCTGGCGAGCTCAGCGTTCCCGGCGGGAGACGCCACACCGGCTTGCCGCTCCCCTCCCTCTTCCTCCTCTCCCGGTCCCTCTCCGACTCCCTACCAGCCGCATGCGGAACCAGCGACATCTTACTCTCCTTATTCCTCAGCGACATCTTGCTTGCCTTGGCAGCCAAGGACCTCCCCTTCTTCTCTCCTCCAGACTCACCACCACCGCCCCCTGAAGAACACGAACCCGAAGTAGACGGCGCCGAGCTGGCATATAACTCCAACAAACTCTTCACATACGCCTTATCCGCCCTCGCAATCGGATCCCCCTCATTCAGAAACGTCAAGAACAAACTCTTCCGCAGCTCCGCCCTCTCAGGCCTCTTTAACGGCAACAAACTCACAGGCGGCGTCCCAAAGGTAACGCAATGCACCCTCTTAAAACACCCCGTCAACGCATTCAACTCGCTCCCGGCCCTGGGCGACGTAGACAACATATGCGCATACAACAAACTCGCCACCGCGCCGCCCGCAGAATGCCCCGTAATCAACAGACTATACGCCGCCCGCCCCGGGTCCTCCTCGAGTAACTGCCGCAGCCGCGCCGCGACGGGCTTCACCATCTTGCGCGCCACCGCCAAAAACCCGGCGTGGCACGAGTTCCCCGCGTCGTCGAGGAAGCCATCGGGGGAAGCCGGGGCGGTGTTGAGGTTGACGGCCCAGTCCATGAAAGTGGCGGAGCCGCGGATCGCAAAGACGATGGTGTTCATGTGGTCCATGGGGACGGACTTGATGACCATTGCTTTCGTGCCGGTTTTCCAGTCTGCTGAGACGTGGGCGTCGCGCTCGGCGCCTTTGGGGTGGTCGTAGACGCGTTCTGCGTATTGGGCGGCCATGCAGAGGAGGGGCCAGGTGGGCATGTATCTGGGATGTGTCAGTTCGTCTCCTCTCGTGAATCTTGAGTGATTTCAAGGACTTCTGTGCACTCACAGTCTCAGGGGCGGGAGGTTCATGGGCAGCTTCGAGTTGGCGTATAACTCGACTTTGGCAAAGTAACCCCCCGACACCACACACGTCGCCACAGCCGCAGACTGGCCCTTTGAACCGGAGGAAGAAGTTTCTTTATTCTTCTTCCGCTGCCCGCTCTTCTCGCCTCTCCCTCCGCTTCCGCCGCTCCTCTTCCCATCTCCCGACGAAGTGGTCTGCTGCACCGCGCCGCTTCCACCACCGCCATTCTGGTACGTGAACAAAGCCTTCTCGTTACCCACCATCCGGTCCCGATCAATTAGGGTCATAACATCGTTGAAACACCCCGCAATCTGGTCGACGCACGCAGCGGTGGAGTTGATGAGTTGTGTGGCGTGCGGGTGGAAGTTTGGCTCCTCAAGGAAGTTGGGGGACGTGAAGTCCTTGGCGATGGTCACCACGGAGCCGGTGAACTTGTCCAGGCCGATGGGGTGTCCGGTCGCAGTTGTCGTCGTCGGTGGTCCAGTTGCACCTGGCGGCGCAGGGAGGGCGAGGTGTGAGGGTGGTGGGTGTAGGTAGTAGTGCTGGTTCACCACGATGGGTTGTTGTTGCTGAGGGTATTGCTGTGACCAGCCTTGAGGGCGATGAGTCTGCTGCTGCTGTTGATGAGGATGCCGTGGTTGTGGATGACGATACGGAGGCGGGGAATGTTGGTATTGTCCCTGGCTGCTCGGCTGAGGCTGCCAGTACGGCGGCGTCTGCGTCGTGGAGGTAGCATATGTTGAAGATTGTTGCGTAGGTGGATGTGGCGGTGCGTGATATTGGGAAGGGTTTATGTTTTGGTGGTGGTTATTCACCGGCATCGGTTTGACTGGCTCGGGGCCATGCTTGACGGCCTTTTTGCGGTCAAACCAGCCCATTGTGAAAGGAGCATACAGGATACTTCACAGTAGTCTCTGATATCCTCGTTTGTCGTTCTGCCTTTTGGGTGCTGCTGGACTGAAATTCGCGAATGGGATCTTCCCGTCTGCTCAGGTTCGCGATCCTTGGCGTAGGCGTTGTTAAACTTTCTACCGGCAGCCAGTCTTCGAATAGTGCGGGAGCCAAGTCTAGCGCTCTGCACAAGAGTGGATTGGCAGGAACCAGGAAACAGGAAGGGAACTGCTCTTCTGTATCTCTTGGCTGGCTGAATAAGATCGAGTTCTCCCAGGCACGAGGAAACTCGTCGCCAAGAAACAATGAAGCGGTCTGGCCGGAGAACAGGTTCGTGTATGACAGGCGGGGAACACAGGAACAAGAAGTAAGGCGTCCCGGTTATCCTGTGTACCCAAGCGTTCGGTGTCGAGCGGGATCCTGCTTTTCCCCTCTCCGCCTTTTCGATGTTCGTTTTGCCTCGGTGTGTTTGAGCAAATGGGGATAATCACAAGTCAAAATCCGAGGCGAGTGACCTTGCGCAGCTGAATCCTGTCTCCAGAGCCGGTAAGTTGCGGACAAAGTGAGAAACCTTGTCTTCCAACCTGGGTACATAGACGAACAGGCGAGAAAGTATGACGCGATATCTCCAGTCCTCCTTTAGTCGCTACTGAATTAGAAACGCCTGCGCCTGCTCTTTGGTAAAGCAGAGCGGCACTAATTGTCCCGGCGTTTGCTACTGCGTGTGGCTATCGCTGTGTTCGGAGGCGGGCACTGGAATGCAATCCGTCGATGCGATTTCGGTGGCGATCTGGCCGCGGCCGAGACGGTGGCTTAGACGGCCGCGGGGAGGGTGGCCGGCAGAAACGGGATGAGAGGTGGAAGGGATAACCCTTCGCGAAGAGTACAGCTGAGGAAGAAGATGATATCAATCGTCCTGGAGTATATAGCAAACTCCGGACGAAGAATCGTCAGCCGCACACGATAAGCACAGACAAATGCAAAGAAATGGAAGACCAAGTGAAAGAGAGAAACGCGGATATCCTCCGCTTCTTCTATTCATGTGCCACACCTCAATGGGCGCCAGTTGAGCAAATCAAATCGTAAAAAAAGTCATGTGTCTCCTCTTAGAGCCCTCCTCTTCACCCTCTTTACCGACCACCGCTCACCTTTCTTACCCCTAGATCGCGCCAGGTCCGAGAATCCCATGTCGAAGAGGGGGGCTCTAAATGGCACCCTTAACCATTCTATCGTCTCTATCCGTAATCATCATCTACTCCATGTACCCCAACCATACAAACCACATCCAAAGAATACAGACTAAACAGTGAACCACCAACACCAACACGGGCACTACCCATATCCCCCCTCCCAAACTGTCCTAAACGGCGTCTCCCTCCCTTGGATAGCTTGAATAGCCATGAGTTCAACCCCCGTCTATCCAACCTGATTCGTCACCGCCCAACCAGTCCGCGCTCTCTCGTACAAGGGGACCTGCACACCAAGCGCAGCAACCCCTCCATGCCCTCCCACCCCATCGCCAATGGGTGCGATGCAAGTTCGAGCCCAGCCCAGGGTCCAATACTACATTATGGAACTATGGGCACTATGGCGAGTAAACTAACAGCCCTGACTCCGTCCTCGCATAGGCGATTACAGCCTACAGGCGCCTCCTCTACACGCCTGTGGGACTCGCCCGTTACACCTTGATTGGGAGAGGGCCAAAGCTCCCCTATGCATTTCAAACACAGCCCTCTCGGATGTCTCTGTAGGGAGCGGTGGTATTGGAGATGCACATGCAACACTGGACAAATCATGAGCCTCTGGCGTTTTGAACAATCATGCTTAAGCATTTCATACGTCGAGAGGAAAAAAAAAGCATAGAGAGCCACTGACCGAGCGCCTACGTTCAGGACTAGCACATACAGATAGATACATGGGTGCTGTCTAGAGTTCACTCCCAACCACCCAGCTTTACAGACAGGTCTTTGAACCGACCAATACTCGACAAGTCGCAAATCAGTCCCGAGGTATTTTTTGATTTTCTTTTCCACTGCGTACATGCGCGTAGCCGCCCAGAAACGACGCTACCGCCTCTCAACCCCTCATTGCTCACAAACACCCTTGTATGCATTCTCTGTTTCCGTTGGTCGTACGGGTCCGTAGAGTACCACCAAACGCGCACATGGGATGTTTTTCTTGTCCATCGTGGATCGCGAGACAAATGCCCGGAAAAGTCTGTAGAGCATGTGATAGTGTATCAACAGGGGGAGAGGGATTGAACTTTGAAGCCATGGGTCGTCGTGACTCGTTGACTGTAAGTTTGACGGTGAGCCACCGTAACAACTTTCTCTCCCATCATGCCTATTGATCATGGTTGCCGTGAACCGAACAATTGATGACAATAGCCTTGGTGGGAGACGGGGGGCAGTGAGTGTCAAAACTCATCCAGATGCGCACTTCCTTTTACACACACCACCACAACCATCACATCCATCGACATTTATTCTGTATTTGTAAGTTATGAAACTTGGATATTGAAGCCGTATTTTCTGAAACATTAATTGGCCACTATTCGTAGTCAGAGAAGTGGTAGGGAATAATGGCCAGATGTTTGGGTGGGGGGGGGGGGGTTCTTTCTCCCACGTCACCTACCTAGGGGGTGCTCCCGATTCAAAACTTTGCTGTTCTACCTACACTGCGCAGGTGAATGAACAATCCATGCGTTTTCCTCAAACTAGATATCTGGCATACGGTGAAGCAAATAGCTATGGTGAATCTATCGAAACATGAGTAACGCTCCAACACTTCATCAATCATTTACCAACACAAAACAAAGTCATCTTAGACATGTGCAAACATGTATAAAACATCCCTCAAGAAGGGATGGCTCAACGTTTAACAAGCTTTGGAGTTCGTGAACCCACCATTCCAGCCCATATAAAGCATCTCTCTGCTCTGAAGACCTGTGTGCCTTTACAAACCCAGCCACCAAAGGGTCAGGCCAAACACCCTGCCTCAACTGCTTCCCAACTGCCGAGAGGGGGGGCAGGGAATCGATAACCCCCCAAGCCAAGAGATTGGGACGAACGGCGCGGGCAGACGAGCAACCCAGAAAACCCCAAGTATCCCAGAACCGAGCACCGGCACCGGCGCCGCGCCGCCGACGCCATTCCCGGCCATAGTTTCTAGGCACGCGGCGACCCGACGTGCCTGCAGCAATCCATAAACCTTGTTTTTCCCAATACATGTGGTTATTATACCTTATCGTCGACTACGGATAGCGCAAGGCAGGTAAGGTACTCAAGGTAACTTTCATAGGCATGTTATCATAAAGTCAGGTAGTCATGTCATCCTCACCATAGACATCACAAGGACCATGTCAAAAGACAGATAATCTAAACAAAGGCACAACTTTTTTTTAGTCTTCATTTCGCCAGACGAAATCGCTACGGACATGTAGTCCACCTATCCACAGACTAAACCTCGACATAAGCACAGCCCTCCAACTCAGAGGAGGGAAGACTAATGGCATGAGGACAAGGTCCACCAACAAGTGGTTGACTAGACAGCCCAGCAAGAAACTTGTCTCGACTCGAAAGACCCTTCGAAAGTTGACCACCAAAAAACAAGACACAATTCCCGATGAAAACAGACACATCTCAGACCGGACTTTGAGGATCCCGCATGCTTCCGCTGCCGCTAGCGCTTCCACTATGAACGCTGCTGCCGCCAGAGCCTGACCCAGCGCCGTCGCTCCGTTGACGTCGCGTGAAAGCAAACGTGACGGGCGTGCGCTGAGCCATGGGCTGCTGCGCAGGCGTGTTATGGAGCGACAAGAACTCGTCGTCGCCGTTGCTAGACTGCGTGAACCCAGACACATCGCTAAGCATCGAGGAGGAGCGACCCCTAGCCTTGAGAGAGACAGTGCTCTGGTGCGTAGGCGGATAACCCCACACAGGCTGCATAGAGGACGCTGGCAGCGGCAACACAGAACCAGACGCGGTCATGGTGGATGTGGGCCACATAGACCCGGCAGGCATCACATACTGCGATGCGGCGGCGGACGGTGGTGTCCAAGCTGGCGCGGCGGGATTGTAGGCGGATGACGTGGTCTGAGGCTGGGCGGAATGACGTTCGGGAAGATCATAGGGCATCGCGGCAGTCGTGGCGTAGTTCATATGCTCATGATATGCCTGGAGCTGCTGTAGCAAAGCGTTGACTTGCTCCTGCTTGTTTGCGTTGGCTGCCTTAATATCCGCAATGCTGCCCCGGAAGTTGTTCTCAATCGTCGATGTCTCCGCCTGCCAGGCGATGCGGGTCTGGCGCCTACGCTCGGCCTCGTCCAGCCCACGATTGTTAGCATCCGTGATTCTGCCCAGCTCGGTGTCCACCTTGGCGATGCGTGCTGCAATCTTGTTCCTCTTGGTCTGCGCGGCAGCCTGCTCGTCCTCCTTGGCCTTCACAGCCTTGGCGATGGCGGCCTTGTAGTCTTTGTATTCTTTGGAGGCAGTATCGAAGATGGCCTTTTCGGCAGCCCACTCCTTTTCCGTCTGTTTCTTACGCTCGTAGAATCCCTCAGGTGCTTTCTCAAACTCCTTGAGCTCTGCTTCGAGCTGGGCAATCTCCTTTTCGGATTGGGCTTTGTTGGTCTCTTGCTGGATAATCTTCTGCCTGTGCTTGTCGTCGTTGCCACCTGCGGTCTGGATCACATTGTCGAGTCTCTCGTTCTCTTTCCTTAGCGCGGCAATCTTGTTCTTCCACTCCTTGCGTAGCGTCTTCAACCTAGACTTCTCCTCCGCCAGCCGCTCGTTGTTCGCGTTGATTGTGCTCTTCAGCGTCGTCGCGGGCGAGTCGGGGCGGAGAGACTGTGGCGTGCTGACGGGCGGGTTGACGGAGCCCTCTTGGTCCTTGTTGGGCGCAAAAGAGGTCCGGATGCTGGTGGAAAAGACGACTCGGTTCGTGCGTGTATCGACAAACTCGCAGACGTACTTGGACAGCGGCCGCAGTCCGTAAATATCACCACACCAACGGTGTTGGCTGGATTGCTCGTCTTGGTCGTCGTCCTGGATGCGGAAGATACGTGTCGGCTGCCAGAAGGCGTTGTTTACTCGGACGTAGAAAGGTTTTGAAGTGTCGACTCCTGCCGGCCGCGAAACGTGCCCATTCGGAGCAACGCTCGGGCTGTCAGGAAAGTAGCTGGTGTTGAAGCAAACCTCATCGTGGCCAATATACGATATCCAAATCTGTTCGGCCTGACTGTCAAAGGGGGCATTCCCCAAGTTGTGAATGTCGGTGGCATTGGAACCGGCTGACTCGGAAGTAGCGTGCGATAATTCGTACTCCTTGACCATGACAATTTTGGTGCTCGCTAGGGCGGCCCACAACGGCTGCTGAAGACGCACCTGTGTGCTTTGTTTTCTCTTCTTTTTCGTAGATGATACTGTCGCATTTTGTTGGAAAGTCGTGTCGCTGTCTGGCGTAGCAAACCCCGTGTCGGTGGTCGTCTCGTTCGAGTACGACTTACCGGCCTCCGGGTCCGTTATGCTGTGTGTCGACGGACTTCCCTTTTCTCTTCTCAAATACCACTCTCTTATGTACCTCACTATGCCCTGCGTTAGAATATGTATGGCAAGCACGCTCTTGATCCACCCGTGCGGTCCTCTCTTATCGAAACCGCGCGTGAATGTTTCTAACGGATCGTCGGAGTCGGGGGAGAACCGCCAATTGGCTGGGAGGAACTTTGTTGCCCGGGTCCAGTGAAATCTTGAACCGCGCAGAAGATGCGAGCCTATGACCAGGAAGAAGCAGGTAGTGACGCTCCTTGACGCTCCCTCCCTCGTGTTGGATCCACCACCCAAAGTGGCGGCGATGACGGGCTTTGCAAAGTCGAGGATGGCGAGCTGCATGGGCGGCCACAGAAAGAGCCACACGAGCAGTATAAAGACATCCATGCAGAGCACCGTAACGAGGGAGGGCATGGTGGAGTTGTAGTCAAAGATCTCGGCGAGATTGATGTTCATTCCAGAGCTCGTAGTAACAGGGGGCACAAAGGTGAGGAAGGTGAAGACCATGTAGATACCGGAGAGGGCGACGGGAGGGACCTGCATGAGCAGGATGAGGATGGCAAGGGTGTCGTAGAGAGGCAGTGCCCTCAGGACGGTAGCGGCGAACTCGATAGGGCCACCAGGGTCGCGATGGACGTCGGCGTTCTTGGTGGCGTTGACATCAATCTGGCGGTGGCTCGCGTCAGCAGCACCATTGCCCATGGCGGAGGAGAGCGAGTCGGACGAGGAAGTCTCGGAGCAACCGCCTAACGAGGGCCGCCTGGTAGCGGCATGGCCATTCCGGTGTTCAGGGGCCATGATGTTGCCGTTGTGGTCGGAAGCGGGCGCAGCGAGGTTCGGGGTCTTGAGGTATCCGTTGGAAGTGCCGTTGGGCAAAGGCGAGGGGAGAGCCGGGGCAGCAGCATTCTGGTCAGAGGATGTCCTAGCTGAAGCGTCGAGGTTCGACTGGCTCTTCTTGTTGGCAACTCGCTTGGCGGGGCCTACAAGACCATTTTCGTGCCTGGTGTCGCGTTGGTTGGCGGCGCCTTGCTGTCGCTTCGCAGAGCTGGAAGCACGAGGCATGCGCTAGGAGGATATCTGCTGTCCGCCGACCCGGGAGCCCTTTCAGAGGCAGGTCGGGGGGCGCCAGCAGCACGACTTGAACTGGTCTGGATGCTGGAGGAGGGGGAGAGGCGAGGGAGCGATATCCCGCCCTCGAGAGCGATCGGGACGAATGTGGCGTGGGCGAGGTCGAAGATGACGAAGGGAGAGAGAGAAAGAGAGAAAGGCGACTATGCACTCGACGCAAAGGAGAGCGCAAAGACGTAGATATTCGGAGGATAGCCGTGGGGCCTCATGCGTCGTGGCTCACGGCAGCAGGTCGGAAGAGGAGGGGAACCGAAGGAGGGTGGGTAGGTGGGTGGTTGAGGTTCCAGAGAGGCGGGACGGTGATGATGATGGTTGAGTTGTTGTTTTTTCCGAACCTTGGAACGGGGGGGAGGTTTGTGTGGTGGTGGTAAAGTAAAGTGTTGCCCAGATTACTCGCGTCGGGAAAGGTTCGGTAGGTGGGTTGAAAGAGCAGCGATGCAAAGTACCTAGGTGGTGCTTACGTCCTGTACTGTGTAGGTAGGCACGTAGGGAAGGAAAGGTACCGATGGAAGGAAACAGGGGGCTACTTGGGAAGAGGAAAAAACCAAGGCAAAGCCGCAATATAGTGTGGAAGGCGCTGTGGTGCTCGGGTACCTTCCAAGTTTATTCGTAGCCTTGGGTAAGCCCACAAGACACTTCGATACCTTGGTCACTTAGGTAAGGTACCGGGGGAGGGGGGGGGACAGACAGACAAAGAAGGACCTGACCTGACCTGAGTTGGCAAGGGCGGCACGAGTTCGGGTAAGAGCCGAGAAATGGGGATGAACTGAGGCGTCAAAGAATTAAAAGTCAGTGGAAGAAAGCCCTCTCTTTCCTCCCCCATTCGTCTCCGTGTACTCCGTATTTGTAAGGTGACTGTATTTCCGAGTAAGATAGTATGCCCGCCCGTACAATTACAGCAGCAACACATCCAATTTGTTGTCCGTGAAGAGGAATTTGTGGTGTGTTGGTCTCTTTTACTTTATTTTTTATTCCTAGGTTTTGAGCACTCCCCTTCCCCTCTGCAGCAGCCAGTCCTGGGACATCGAGCAGTGGTGTTAGGGGCAGAGCGCCTCGCTTCGAGTTTATTTTAAAAAAGACTGCGCGGGAACAGGACGAGAGCAGGGATGACGGATGGTGCGGGAAAGGTTCCAGTCGCACTGTTTCGACTTGGGTGGGTGGACGGGTACGTAACTCCTTGTCGATACGTATCCGAGGACTGCTTTACATTTTTCACTTGGTATTTTTTTTCTTGTGTTCCTTTCACTTTTCTCGCTGTTCCTCCCGGTCTGATGAGGTGTGGGGAGGTACTTTGGCTCAAGTCCCCTCCAAGTGGGGTCCTGACTAGATCAATCCGTCCTCAGGAACTGTCTCATTGGTTCACGACCTCCGGTGTGGAGATAGGGTCCCTTCTTCCCTGGCCACTCACGACACTTCTCCACCCTCTCCTCGACCCCCCCGATCAGAATCAGAAGCGGATCTCGGATCTGGACCTGGGCAGTACTTGTGACTCGGTCAAATTATGTCTAGCTCAACGGGCAATTTCCTTTCATGCTCTTGTACATTGGGGTACCCCCGACCGAGGCAAGCCGCAGTTGCCAGCGCCGGGATGGATCATGGAGGCCGATTCAAGGTTGCTGATGGGATGAGATGCCGTTGGCGGTCACGCAGTTCTGCAGCCCTTTGGATTCTGGGGCCGCCGCCAAAAAAGTAAGATTACAGGGGGCCACCGGTGCTGAAGCTGCTAAACGAGCGATGACTGAGTGCTGGATGACGAGTTCACGACATGCAGCATGCAGTGATGCACCCTCGGCCTGGCTTGATAAAGGCGTTGTTCGGACAGGGTCCAGAAGCTTTTTGTTCATGATGTGCTGTTCATGATGTGGATTGACTATGGAACGGGGCATTCGTATGGAAATGCATTCGCATACTGAGGTTACTTTACCTACCTACCATAAGAACGGTATGTAGGTAGGTAGGTAGTCGTAAACAGGGCTGGCCAAGCACGGGAGATGCAGCGCATTGCATAGCTGCTGCTCCAGCCTCCAGCTCCCAGGGCCTGGCACAGGATGGATCCCCAGACGGAACGGAAAACACGCAAGCAAGGCAAGAAATCGTGTCCTGCATTACCTGACATGGCGGCATCGTGCTGGGATATCAATGTAATGTATTTCTATCCGTAGTTTTGTTCCATCATGCCTTCCGCCCCTTCCGTGCTTCACTGCTCACTGTTCAGACCAAGTATCGTATAAGTCGAGGTACCTGACGTAGGTACCTTAGACACAGGCAGGAGGGTAGGTTCCTTCCACTGAATACATAGAGAAGTTGAGAACCTAAGGGATAGACATTGAGTAGGTACCAAAGGCAAGATACCTGGGCAGGCAGAGAAAAGGAAGGCATCGTGGTCGTGTGCCTTCTCAACTTCGTGCAAGTACCTACCTCAGGGAACTACCAATGTCAATTGCTTCCTTCCATGCCTCATGTGCGGTGTGAGGTTGGGAAGGTGGTGCTCCCCTTCGTGCTGCGCGCCTCCTTCCCATAGAACAATCGTCATATCCCAACTCTGAATTCCCTTCTTCATTTTACTCTTCCCAAGTCGCCAGGTCTTCTCCCCAATCATTCCAAACATCAACCATCCCTTACACAGTATTCGTACGGATACCAGTGAACGATACATTTCTCTCTTCTTCGACATCCCCGTCATATTCAGCGCCCCTGACCACCACCCGCCACTACGAGCCTAGGTACGACAGCGCCGTCGCTGGACTCACTGGAACGTCCTTCTTCTTTCGTCCCTAGTTCGGTCCCTCGTCGTCTTTTCTTCGTCTTGTCCACGGCTTCTGTCATCGACCGTTGTCCATGCTGTCCATCGTCCGCAACACCCATCATCGCTGTTCGCATGACGACCCGGCTCAGCTGGAATCTTTGGGAACATACCTGGGGACGTAATGAAAGAAGAGACTGGATGATATCCGTACCGCCTCTGCCTGATCATTACACCTAACTCTGTCCCTCCCAGGCCGTTCTTCGCTCCCGTTCACCGACCTTGAGGTACCACAATACATGCCCTTGAAGGCACTCACGCATCGACGCATAAATCAAGTAATAAGTAATGGCACTTACGTCGGATAGTCATACCGCCAAAGCGATATTCAGAGCCAGCATCGGGGCTACTGCCAATGGCCCGGTTGAGCTGCGCTGAACGCCCATCCCGCACTCTCTACCACATGTGCCTGGTTTCTTTCCCTCCAAAGCAAGCTATGCTGGTACTCCGTACACAGCACTATCCACTAGTACCGACACACAGTCATTGTCAGGCCGGGCCTTATTGTCTGCAGGCTGTCTGGGCGGTGGACGATCTCTTCGTGCTCGTCATCCCACATGTCGACGCAACTTGGCCATCACGCAGTACTTAGCACCTTGGAACACGACACGATAGGATGGACCACCAGTGTGTGTACTACCTCCCGCCTTCCTTGTCACCTCGAGACTAGGCTCTCCCCGCTCTTGCAGACCACCCCCGCGCACTCAAAATTTCTTATCGCTTTCCCAGCGAGCCACGAGGACATCTCAAAGACAACCATCGCCTGTCCGCCCCGGCCGAAGCTCGACATCATTCACCAATCCTCGCTCGCCAGAGCCCGTTCCCCAGGCGCACACCGACGATCGTCAAAGTATGCTCCACATCACGCTACGCTATTCCGACGGAAATATATTCGCCTCAAGGGCTACCATTTCGGCCTCCTCCTTGAAGGGGCACGATGCCACCCACGCATCCACGGTTCCGTCCACCACCAACCGCCAGCCGCACAACGTGCTTCCCTTTCTCTGGTGCTCACTGTGTGTTCCATGTACCTGTATAAGTCTCCTCCGACGCTCGGTGGCCTGACGTTCCACGATCACCATCTTGACGCCGACAATCGGGGCACAACTTCACAAGTCGAAACGCTCTTCGGTGAGGCACCAAGCACGAGGCACGAAAACGTGGGGACGAAACCAAAGAACCTGGCAAGACGAGAGTGCCTTGACCCCTTGGACCCCTCGCACAGTGAAAAGCATCACGGGCGGACGACAAATCCAGCGCTAGCCCTCCAGAGCGAGCGTAACCAAAATCACCAAACACCACCATCACCTCACGGGCCAGCATCCAATTTCAGGGCAGCCATGGATCAGGGCAACGATACCACCAAGCCAGAGGACAAGTCGACGGGACAGGAGCATCGTGGGTGGAGCTTGTGCTCGGCCGCGACTCGACGGCGGAAGACTGAGACTCGTATGCAGCAATGCATATTCGTCTCGTTATGTCTCGTGGTTGACAACGCACCATCACATTACACTCGCACTGCACTCTCACTTTGGCTCACATTCAGTAGTGCAATGATTTCTGCGGAACGTGCAGCATCTCATTGCCTTCATCCTGGCACGAATGGCAACAGACTTTTGGGAGGGCAGATTTCCCATGTCGATCATCAACTAGTCGAGGAATGTCGCATGCGTAGCTTTCTGGGCACTGCACCAACCACAGCATCGTTAAGGCGGCATTCGCTCGAGCCAATTCCTCCTCAGATCCAGCATGATGTGACATGACGGGGCCAGCTTGACACGCTGACAGCCTACAGAGTACTGTACGGGCACGTACCGGTACAGGCACAACGCTTTGCACGCGACTGACGAGTCTCAACAGCGACTGGCAATGACTACGAATACTGCTGATGGCTGGACATGGCTGTGGTCCGGAGATCCGCATCGCTGTTTTCGACCCCGTCGCAGGCCCTAGACAAAGTGGTCCTGTCCTCGCAGGCGCCCTTGTCTTTGTCGCCTTTGCCCGGCTGTCGACGATCTCCTTTTGATTCGAAACATAACAAAGCCATTTCTGGAAATAACCTAGACAGTGCGCGTCGGCCATCCCTCCTCTCCGCTGCCAATCACCCTATGGTCTCTCCGAAAGAGCCGGCGAGGTAGTGAACGGCCGCCGACCGCTGACCGCTGACCGCTTCCGATGACTTAGTTGAGCCCCTCCATTGAGCCAACATCAAATCTACATCCGGCCTCAAATGAACCCGCGGGGTGGACGAGACGGGGTGGACGACGGGGTTGCAAAAGTGTCAACGGGGCATATCCGTACTATTATGGACAGGAGAGAGAATTTGGCAACTCTTCACCTTTATCGATAATCAGCTTGCAGGGTCAAGCTTTTCTTGCCGCCATCTCCACCTGTTTAGCTAATTATCCTCCGATCGAGATGACAGGTATCCCACCCGGAAAAGGAGGAGGGACAAAATCGAAAGGAGCAAGACAGTGCGGCAATGCAACCACATCCTGGACCGTCGTCAGGCGTATTCAACCTGCTCGACAAGTCACGACAGAGATGATTGGAAAATACTACCTGTGATGGTGGTGAACCCCCACTTGGCCCCCCCCCCCAGGTCTTGAGCATAAACGGCGAGGAACAAGAGGGAGCTAGGCGCAGAGAGGTAAAGCAAGTCGATCTGCCTGTCGGCATTTGGCTGCTACCAGCGGCGCGCCTTGCTGCCAGATTGCCTCCCATGTCACAGCCGGTGCACTTCAAGTGGACTGCTGACTCGGGATGCCGTGGAGAGCAATTTGCAGTCGAATCACCTGATTCGTGGTGCCGTACAGAAATTCTTCAAAGAGTCAGTGACCAAGCGTGGGTTGCGGGTGTCCTCACCAGGACTTTGTATCACTATTAGTGCCTGACGATGGTAGGACTTTGAGGATGAGGGGAGAGTTGGAGGGAGAAGAAGAAGAAGCGATGTTACGGCACTTTTCCCACAGTCTCACTCATTCTCTGCCGCTGCAGCAGCCATACTTCACCATTGGATCTCGACTGCAGCGAGAGACTTGATGGGACAATGACCTCTCCAATCATGGATAGCGAGGAGATACGACTAGCACCCCGTCAACTGATCTAGCATCGAGACTAAAAGCCCCGGGAATAAGCTTCAAGACGCCAGCCTTCCTGCAGCACAAGCTACGGCACGCCTCTCATGCAGCCCCAGGCCCCAAATCACCTCAACACGCAGCACTGCAGCACCACAGCAGCTCACCTCATTCACCACCGCAGCCTCCAGAGCTTACACTTGCAAAATCGCGGCTCCTCCCCCTCCATCTCGACGAGGGAAAAAGACTTGGCGGCCCATGATCCGGTCGCGAGCTGATTGGTGCCCTGCAGACCGTTATATTTCTGCGGCTGCTTAGCGGGGTCGACTTCCCTCTCGCCGATGTTCTTTCGCACTGTGGTGCTGACTCTGAAGGCGGTCTGCAGGCTGTGGCACCGCTCTGCCATCTGGTCGTATGGGTACGGATATACACAACGAGAATACCCATGTACGGATGCGTGAGGCGACACAACGTAATAGCGCAAGGGCGGCTCCGTGCGATGCGGATCTCCCGGTGGGCTCTCTGCGCCGCCCCTCTCGGAGCGAATTTGAATTTTCCAGCGGCGGACACTGGACGCGAGGCCAGCCGGTGCGCCGTACACGTCTGGAAAGATAATTTTGAGAAATTTTTTCACGGAGCGAATTTCCACGGAGCCTCTGATGCTCTTTTCCAGAGCCTGTGCCGCCGAGAAGACTCCGTGACGCTACATGCGTATGGAGCAGGACGGACAGCGGTTATTGATGCCATGACATGGAGCCCAGTGGCACCATTGTCCTTGACAGTGAAGAGTCCTTTTCAGCCGTTCCAATCACTGGTCTCCAGGTCACATATCAACCCGAGCGCATCGATTCATTTTTACGCGCTCAACCCGTGCCAGCATTTCTGCAATGCATACACCAAGATGAGATTTGGCACATGATCAGGGGTTTTTAGGATCACGGCGTCGAGTAGTTGCGCGCTGTACCTTTCTGAGTCTCTATCTCAATGACTGGTATTTACCAGGGGCCGATGCTAGGGATATCTTCCGGCGGCGTGCTTTCTATCGTCTATTCGGCAGACACTTGAGTATCTCTTGCGTCGCCCGTAGGGTCGAATGGCCTCAAGCTCTCTTCAGCCATCAAGCTGTCGCCCGTCATCTTGTCTAGCGGAGGGGCACGCTCAAATGGCGAGGTCAATTTCCTCTACAAGAGGACCGCTTTCGCCTCGACTTGCCTATGACTGATCAAATTGAACCAAAAACCATGCGTCTTCTCGCCTCGCTCGACTTACACGAGCGACTCTCGCTCTTTCCGTCTCGGGTTTCCGGCTCGACCACGGATTTTGCTCGCGTCTTTGGTCCGATGGCGATAGTACCCAGTGCCGTGAGAAGTATTTGTGCACATCTCATACTCATATGTCGTTAGGGCGCGGCGCTGCCAAAGTCCTCCTTGGCGTCTGGTCTTCTCCATGTACCCAGTTCCAGGTTGATGACCATTTTCGCGATATGTCTTGCATGTCCATCTGCGGCGTTCCGCTCCGCATCGGTGCTGGTCAACTCAGCCACCCGCTTCAGTTCACGGCTGAGCCAGGGCAGCCCTTTCCTGTCATGAGTGCAGATCTTCAGATGCATGTTCAAGTCGGCTATTTTGGTGAAGTGCTTGTGTGAATAGATTACAACCTTGAAACGGAAGGTGGACTTTTCTTCGTAATCGTTTGACAGCAACCTTGTGTAGGCGCTGATAACTTGCGGCTCGAGCGAGAGTGTCTAGTAGGGAAGGCTCATCAGCACAGGCATGCTTGAGGGACGAGGGGTTGGGGGCGCAAAAGAGACTGTGATGTTGTGGGCATACCGGAGAGGCGCGGGTTTGCGGTGGCGATTTGTTTTGGCAGTGCATGGTTGTCAGTGTCTCGTTGCAGGTGTGGCTGTCGCGAAGACGCTCCCACTCTAATCTATCTTGAGGATCTGCCGTCTCGAGAACGCGGTCCAGAAAACGGGCGATTGACTGCTCAGCGACTTGGGTCAAGGTAGACGCTTGAGATATACCCTACGAGAGCAAACGGGAACAACAGTCAGTGGCGCTGTTGATACAAGTTGGTCTCACGAGACCAAGATCGGGACCAGGACTGGCACTGGCGCTGGCGCTGGCACTGCTTAGCGCAGACGGCGGATCAAAGACTCACCAGCCATGGACGATGACTCGGCTCGCCATCTCGCAGTCGGACAGTGTACGCCGAGTTCTTGGGGTCATAGAAGCCCTGCGAGACTGCGTGGAGATTACGCCATTCGTCGTTAATGGTTCTCAGGAGACTGGCCGCGCGTTGGGTCTGGTCTGGGTCGCAGCCAAAGGCGAGGCATTTCCCGATGCGCTTGTAGAGTTCTCGCGGGCTGAGCGAGATTGTGTTTGCGAGTTGCGTGTTGTTAGAGTATAGGGGCCATTTGCGGCCGGCCTTTGGGGGAGCTTTGGCGGCTTTGGAGACGGCGGCGGCGGCGGGCTTTGCTTCGCGGGGGTATTCTGAGACTACGCGGGATAGCATTGACTGTTGGAGCCGCGTTGTTGTGAATCTCATTTTTGGGAGAGGCTTGCTCTGACGAGCGGGGTGCGTGAGGTGTGTTGGGATCGAGGTCGGGGTCGGGATTCGGAAGTCGAGGTGCGACGTGCGAGGGTGAGGGTATCAAGGTTAGGTTTCGGTGTCGCTTTTCTGAAAGTGCCGTGTCCTCCACCAGATAGATCACGACGTGAGGGAGAAAAGAGGGTTGAGAGATGGCCGGCCTCAAGCTCCCAATGTCCCGCGGGTTTCGAATGGCGAGGTTGAAGATGCGGCGCGGCGCAGTTCGGCCCCATGGGTTGAGCTGGGGGAACGAACGGGTGGGATGAGGTTGAAAGTTCCAACCAATCATGAGAGCTGTTGGAGCTTGGTGGTGGGGATGGCACCTTGGGGGGGGGGGTCTTACATCATCTCGCCGAGGTCTGAGGCCATTGGAGCGAGCTGTCGACCTCATCGACGACGACCTTGCGAGCCATGAGCGGGAGATGCGATAATTGACGGGACTGCGCCATCTCTTTATACCATCATTTGCAACGACGATATTTAAAGACTGCCACTCTCTGAGACTTCGCAAGCTGCTCCGACAGTTGTTCAAAGAAGAGGATGAGCGTCGTGAATACCGAGTTGCGGAGGCGGGTCATTGCCATTTACAAGGGTAAGTTGAGAGTCTTTTCATTATTGTTGTTCGTTTTACTCTAAATGGGAGCATCGCACTTGTTCAATCGAGCTGTATCACGTAGCCTCGAGGTTGCCCGGTGAGACAAGTTGCTGAGATGTTTGACTGCTCTTGTCAACATAACTTGTTGTGAAGACAAAACCTGCGCTTTTCTAAACGTCTGTCGCTGGCGCATCCTTACTCTACGACAGATACTTGTCGTCCTGAGACTGATGATCCGGTTGAATTTCGTCAAGTCGACTGACCACAGCACGACCAAACCCAGAGCTCTCTCTTTTCCAACACATCTTTTTGCCCCTCACCCTCTCTCTATTCTATTCACTGCCTCCCTCTACAATATCCGCTCACCTTCCATCCGTCAACCATTATGCCTGGGCTCACACTGCAGCCTCACCTAAAGATGAACCCAACAGACAAAAATGACTAACCATGGAGAATAGAACTCCTCTACTTGGGCCGAGAATACCCCCTTGGCTACGATTAC